CTCTTTATCTTAGATAAATTCTGAGTATGTCATTTCTCTTAGGATAGTAATCTAATCTCTGATCTTTTAAACTCAAAATTTTAATCATATCTTTATTCATCTAAAAAGGTCTAGTCATCACTAAGAGTAAAGAGAAGAGTTCATTTTCTTCGAATAGAACTTAGGAACTTTCTCTGTTCACCAAATTAAGAAGAGAATAATACACTATCCTTAATCGAGAGTTTTCCTAGGTCAAAACCAAGGATGTAATTAATCACGGGGGCTTGCGCCCATGGGAGACTGATCCCCACATCAAATAAATCCCATTCGAGCTCATGTATCGAATGGGGGAAATCTCGTAACTTTTGGGCTATATATATTATTATCCATCGAGGTGTGTAGGTGAAAGCCGCTATCCTCCATGGCTAATCTTATGTATGACTCCATCTGCTCTTCAATTGGCCTGCTTGTGTCGAGTGTAAAGGCCTACGATCATTTTATCCTACAGGATAGTGCGGTCCTACCCTTTGCATTCGAACCCCATAAGAAGAATCCTTTCGGAGACCCACACTGGGAAAGTAAAAAATGATAGATGGGTTGCTTTTCATTTAATGCATGAAAACCATTACATCATTTTTATATGATCAAAAATCATGCTTAAGAAGTTGGTCCTATTCAGTACCTCCCTGCGTGTAAGCTTTAAAAAAAAAGAAATGATAAGTGTACCCGCCATGTGGCACATGTCATCTGTCATATGATTTGGAACTCATTGATTGTCTATCATATAGTACAGCATGTGAGCAAAAAAAGTTCCCCAAATTCTTACAGTTCTAGATGTCACATTGGAAGGGGAAATGATAAGGACATCATTCAGAGAGTCAGACATGTGTACCGACGACAGAATCGTAGATCGACGGCTACGATTCAGCGCCTCTACTTTTCATGCATTTCTTTATGATTTATTTAGTTTTGTTGCTTTCCGAATTTACCCTTATGGGGAAGTGTTTTGTTATTGTAGCTCAGACGGCATTTATGTATTTTTTTCTTTTTTTTTTTATGTTTGAGACCTACATATAGCGGTCTTATATGTTGTAAGAGGATGATGATTTGATAATGAAAATTTTATGTGTTTTCTTCTCCTTGTTGTGTGAGCACTAAAGAGAAGGGAGAGAGAGCTCAAGGTGAGAGCAAGCGCAATACCCACCAGTCATTGGAAGAGTCTGGGGCTCGTGGTTTAATTCATTTTATTTTTCTTTTCTTCTCTTTCACACCCCACTCGCCGGCTTCTCCCTTCCCTTCCACCGCCGTCCATCCTCCCCACCCAAATCCCCCCTAATTCCACCACCTCAAGCGCAAGCAATCATAACTCCCTTCCTATAATTTTCTTATTTAAAAAAATCGAAATAAGGAAAGTTTGTATCATGAATCCAATTTAAAATAAATTAAATTGGATTTCTTATTTACTTTCCTAGTCTACAAAAATCTATTTGGAAACTCCCAAAACTCTCTCCATAATCCCTCTCTCCCCCTATGAAGCCGCCGGCCCCCTTTAATGGGCTTTTTAATTTGTTTTCCTATTGAAGCCCTCACCCCACTTGAATTTGAATTTAATTTCAAATCCGATTTCCCTCCAATTCCACTTAAACCTGAAATTAGTTTCCACTTAAACAAATTCCCCTAGCCCTCATCCTAATTTCCCCCTTCTCGATCCCCTTAACCCAAACCGCCGACTCTCCTCCTCTCCCTCATCCCCTACTTTTCTCCTCCCCTCTTCCCAACTTGCTTGCTCACACACTTTGAGGGAAGCATGTATGGCCAACCTTGGAACAATTATTACGTCCGGTGACCGGACGTAGCTCTACGTGCGGTCACCACTAAGTTACTCGGTATTTGCTCGGTATTGCTTGGCAATAAAGAGAAATACCGCTCTGTGAAGACGAATACCAAGTAATACCGAGTTTTTCTAGAAAAAACTCGGTATTGCTCTGTATTGCTCGGTATTACTCGATATTGCTCGGTAATTGCCTTCACATAATGGTATTTCTCGTTATTGCCAAGCAAAATCGACAAATACGTGGTTTTGTGCCTGCTACGTGGCGCGATCTAAGTGCCGGCCGAGCGTAGCTCTACGTCCGTTCACCGGACCAAATAAAAGTTCCCAACCCTGAGGTCGACCACGGCCTCGCCTACAACGCCCAAGGGGAAATCGACATTCTCCGCTCCACTTTCTACGATCCAGACTGGGAGTACGACGACTCG